CTATAGGCTCTACAAAAATTGATTTAGCAATGAAGAATCAAATATGCAAATATATAGGAGGTACTTTGAGTATGTTCATGACATTCATAATTCACTGTGCTCTGAAAGATACAAGAGCAAGTGACTCGTTTTTTCAAAACATGCTTGCAGATCCAATGTGTTATTATACACTAACTGTATGCTGTTGGTTTTATTATTCGTTCTGTAAGTATTCATGAACTATAAACTATTTATGTCTTTCTATATTTTGCGTAGATCACCAACCCTGTGTCTCTTACATCACTCTCCATTATTGATGATGATGCTTCTTATTTTTTTACCTTACTTGTTATTTCATACTGTTCGACAACTACAGAATATCATTGTCCTTTTGTCACTGATAACTACAACTAATTGGCTTTTAGCTCATTACTGCTATAATATTTACATGTCGTATGAAGTAGACATATTTATCGTTTATTTCTTAGTTTGGCAATTTGTTGGTCTTATTTACAAATGGCTTTATCAAGATCTACCAATTCTTTCTTTTACTCTTCATCAAAAAGCAACTTGCTTATCTATAGCATTTTTAGCATTTATAACATATGATGTTGTATTACGACCTCTACCCACATATGTTGGTTTTGCTTTCATTTGGCTAATGTCTGTTATAGACATGTAAGTCTGTATGAATGGTTTTTATTTCTTTAATAGTCAAACATCCTTTTTATAGTAACATTACAAATATTGCAGGTAGTAATTATTTCAGAGAGAAATAGTTGATCGATAAAGATCTAAAGATACTCACATCTAAATACAGATTTGAGACACATGGTATAATCTATAAAATATTCATTTGCTATCGTAAGATGTTGATCAGCGAAAATCTAGTTTTTCTTTGATCAATATGATCGAGACTACTTTACAAGAACTAGAAGCTCATCTTTTTCGTATCTATTAAGTCAGTGATCGGTAAAGAAATATACATCAATACAAATTAAGAATTTTCTGTAATCTTCAATCTACAAGAATTTTTTTTATTTGTGTCAAAATACATTTTATAAGATAAACTTATGCACACTTTTTCTTATTCACAAGACACGCTTGCACAGAAACAAATGCTATGTTGTTTGTCGAAAGCCTCACGAAACCCTCTAGACTGTTGCGGGCCCTTTAATTCTTATACAGACTTGTTAAGCATGAAGAGATCAACTCATTTTGCCCTCACTCTCACCTTTGGGGCGTCGTCCATGGCTAAAAAGTGCTTTCGACAAAGTGTTTTTTGGCGAAGAGCATACATACCTTTAAATATTTATATTATACGCTTTATCTTTTTCTATAAAAACAGAAACAGCATGCGTTTATATCAGATGTTAGATGAAGGATAGGATATCTCACCAGATAATATAAGGCAGTTGGAAAAATACATGAGTTATTATATCAAAAAGAGAGAAAGACAATAGAGAAATAAACCAAGAGAACACCAAGAACAATACCTGACAAAATGAAAGAAAAGAGATAGCTATAATAAACAACATATATGGAACGGAAGCGAGAGGGCGCCTCAAGGATGAGAGTGAGGGCAGAATGAATATATATGGTTAATATCCTTAAAACATTTCTGTCTTATAGTACATCTTTACATATGGACTTTAACAGACTTGAATCACCTAGGATTGACATTAATTACACTACATGTCAATAAATAACGAGTGATAAAATACTTTTGTCAAACAAAATATTCCTCTTTGGGAAAAATTCTGCATAAAGTGAAATGTATCTTATAAGCTTTCTGTTCGTTCTCAAGATTTGAGAATGAATTCTTAAATACTGTAATATTTTAAATTTTGATATCGTCTGAATGAATCCATTCCTTCCTTCTTAGTCATACAGACAAGATTTTTGTGTTTTTTTTTATAATAGTGTTGTCTGTTTTCATCTAAAATGTCGTGAGTATGATCCAGCAATGGAAGCACTAGTGGACGTTATGTTATTTGATTATCCAACAGCTTCACACGGATATTATTGAGTATTTGATATCAACGAAATGAACGATGATGTGGAAAATGAGAACGAGTGTAATTCGATGATTGGATGGGGTGACTTTTTTGCCTTCGATCTTTTATTATTATTGGTTATACCTAACAATTCTTCGATTACAATAAGAGCATGTACAGCGTTCGGCTGCATAATTAGCGCACAACTTGGCGATCTATGTACTAGTTTCATGCGTCCCTATACTGATTCGAATTATTTGCCAACTGTACCTCTTCCAACGATTGCTGTCACTGCTTACACAATTGTCATTAATGCCATCATTGAATATTCAAATTTTGACTGTGAAGATTCGTTGAAATGAAGGAAAAGCCTTCATTATGACTGTTGATACTTTAAACTGTTTTATTTGTTAGCACTTTTCTCATTACTCATTGATAAATAAAAACTTCATGGTTTAATATTTTTGCGATTTATACCAAGAAGAAAAAGCTGATTTTGATTATCAATGGTTGCTATTGAACGTTTTCAGTATTTTTCGGTTACATAATAGATCCGAGTTCTTATGGATAATCTTTAGGATTTTCGTCATTAAACAGAACAACAATGATGTTTTTGCTAATGAATTGATCATATTTAAAATGCAAACTTTCACGGAAAGTACGATAGAAATAAGCGTAACGTCTTCAAAGAGAACAGCAAAGGATTACTGCATTTCTACTATATTTAATCTATCCAAAGACACATCTAATTTTCTAATCAAGTTAATATCTATTCGTTAGATGCTAAAGAACAATGAAAATTACAGAAATCAATTTTTTCTAAGTCTTTTTTGATGGGATATTACAGTTTTACTTAGGGTGTACCAAAGGTAATGACGCCAATACCTTCTTTTCCTATAGAAACCTTGAAGAAATTTTCTTTTTAATGCGATGCAAAGCAGAGCATTTATGTAGTCCATCGCGAGTTTTTTTTAATGCTGTGCGAAACAATGCATTTGTGTAGTCCGACGTGAAGTTTTTTTATTCATTTCTTTCTTTCTTTCTCGACGTACGCATAAAATTTTCGGATTTTGTATCGCAGTGATCCCAGGAACGAAACATCAGAAGGGTGTGGGTGTGGGTGTGGGTGCTAGTGATGAGTTACCCACACCCACACCCACACCCACATCCTAGGGTGAGGTCATTCTACGATTGCATAAAGATAAGAGAAAAGAATGCATGAGCTCAAAATAAATGACCTTGCTGACCTTTTATATGAAAAAATGCACTCGACAATTATGCATAAAATACGATTGTTCGATGAGAATATTTCTTCGAGATGTGATGCTTGAACAACTTTTATTATAGGATATATCTTTTTGAGAGCAGCAGTTTTTCTCAATAAATCTTAGCAAACTGATCCACGTATTAACTCATTTAATGGTATACTCATTCTCGCAAATATTAAACGACAACCAATAAACATCAGCAACTATAAATGATCGTAACCGCACGAATATTCTAAACATAAATATTGATAGAATCCATAGCATTAAATAAGCAAAAGATCAACCTTTTTAAAGGTATTCACTCCAGAATTTCTCAGGACGAGAATTCTCGTCGATTGGATCCAAAGGTTAATGTCGTTTATAATCGTGACTATATTCATATAGTGATTAGAGATGAATATTCATAGTCATTGTTAACGATGACTATAGTAGAGTTGAAAGTTTGACTTATTATTCGAGATAAAGTTATGCACGACCGTGACTAATTCATCTGGGATCTCTTCTTATTACTAGAGATACTTTCGAATGAAAAATATCTTCGAATGGAGTATTATTGACTGTTCTACATTGTTTGACTTGAGATTATTTCTAGAGATAAATTTCTGTCAAGTTAAATATCTGAAAGAATTTTAGTTAATTGTTTACTCTTGTTCAGTTCTCGTCATTCTATCGAAAATTTTGACTAAGATCAAATTTAAGGATTTCATCATCAGTTTCTACACTTTTTTTTTCGGTCCGAACTCAACGAAAAATATGTCCTTAGACAGTTGAAAACTTTGAAAAATAGCAGAAAGTTCAATAAATAGAAATATGAGAAGCATGTCTATTAGTCATTCTAATCGGTAATAGTTTAGTCCAATCGAAGATAGTCAGATCTGACGAAATGAGAGATTTTTTAATCGAAATTGTTATATGTTCGACTGAATTAAATTCATCTGTAATTCAATCAGTTCGACGAATTGAATATTAATTGATATAAGTCAGATTGAACAAGAAAAACAATAATCTTACGAAAAATTTTCAGATTAAATCCAGATAGAGATATATATTAGTTAATAAGAATTTTGATCGTCAAAATTGCAAATAGTGACCTTTTTCGATCTGGCAAGTCTATTCTAAGCACAACTACAAAAATTGATTTGTAGATGTGGATATGAAATTCCTGATTGGAAGATTCTATTATTTTTCATGTGAAACTGACTAAACATGATTTTGTTGGGGGGGAAGAAGTTTTCAAAAAACAAATCAATTTAGAATAAATAGATTCGAAAAAAAAAACCAATCCTCTTGACAATTATTGATGAAATACGATCGGTACTTTTTTTTTGATAAATTTTTCAATAATTATTTTTATAGAAATATTTTCATATTAGAATTTTAAAAAAGAAATCAACTATAATAATCATGTATAAAAGTCAAGTCACTATGAAAAAGATATTTAGATCAGTCTATTATTCTCGGTTATTTATATAATCAACAAACATATTCATAGATTAATTTCATGATAAGATCAACTGGTTAAAAGAAGAATAAAACAAGGTTATCAAGTACAAAATAACGATTGATTAGAAGACTAGAGAATATTTAGTTAGTACACTCTTTACAAATCATATTTAGTTGTTTTTTTTCTCTCATCTCTATCTACAACGAAGAAAGAGAACGAGGTGAATGAATGCAACCATAGTACTATATAAAGCACAAAGTTCATTGTTGTTTAATCAGACGTGTATTAAAACAAAGAATATTATTTTGTAAAATGTCTGAAAAGAATGAAATAAATGGAAGTAATTCATCTTCAAATAACTTATATTTAGATAAACCATGTACAAAGAAAGAATTATATGGTAATGAATTATTTGGTTTTGGTTCAATGCAAGGATGGAGAAAAACAAATGAAGATTTTTCGAAATATTTAATACTATTTGATAATTATTTATGGAAAGATTGGGCTTTTTTTTCTATATTTGATGGTCATAATGGAAGCGAAACAGCAAAAAATGCTGCTAATATTATTGATAAATATCTTCTAGAATCTCTTAATAAAGTTCAATCTAATATTGATTATGATCAATTAAATGATATTATTAAAAGAACATTTATTAAATTGGATAAACATTTACGTGAAATTGTTCAAGATAATAGTGGATCTGTTTGTGTAAGCATTTATCAAAAATTTTAAAAAGATTTTTTTTTTTTGTTTTTTCTATTTAATATATAGATAGCATCATTAATTGGTCCAAATAATATTTATTTAATTTATATAGGAGATTCTCGTGGAATAATTATATCAAAAGATGGACAAGTTTTATCATCTACAAAAGGTTAATTTGTTTTTATTTTAATTATTTTCTTGTTTAAAATCTATTAAATATAGATCATAAACCAACTGTTCAAAAAGAACAATAACGTATACGTCGAGCAAGTGGTCAAATAACAAAACCTACTAATGATGTATTACGTATTGAAAATCAACTTGCTATGACACGTGCATTGGGAGATTATTCATTAGATAAACATATTATACCAGCTTTACCTGATATAATTCAATATCGAAGAGATTCATCAGCATCATTTGTTATAATTGCTTCGGATGGAATTTGGGATGTTATCAATAATGAACAAGTTGCATTATTTGTTTCTCAACGAGCATCAAATAAAAGTTTATCTGAAATAATATCAGATTTATTTGATAAATGTTTACAAGAATAATCTTCAGATAATATGACTGCTTTTATCATTAAACTAGATTAACATAATATATATATATTATTTTATTCTAGCTCATCAAGATTTTTGTTTTCTTTTTTTTAAACAAGAAAAAGATATATTTATCTTCATTACTAATAATCTTTCTTTTTTCTTTAAGAGTTGATTTCGATATATTCTTATGACTCATTTTAAATATGTATATATACATATTCTATTGAGATTAATTTAGTTGTCATTATAGTTTTATTCGAGTAGGATGAGAAAGAGTTTTAATAAAAATTATCGAATAATATTAATTCGAATGATGATAACTATAAATAATCTCTATTTAATTTATTTTTCTAGATTTTCAATATTTTATTGATCGAACAATTGAATCATTTTTTTTTTAAATTTTCTATAATAAAATAAAAAATAAGGAAGATTTGTGATAATGACAATTCTACTTCGAGCAATACTTTAATCACAATCGTTTTCTTATATTCAACTATAAAAAAAAATAATATATTGTCTAATTTACTCTTTGATTATAAATGAGCTCACTGAGTAAAAACTACAATCAATATTAAATAAATGATAATAGAAGTGAATATATATATTCTATAAAGCATATTATATATTATAATTGGTATAAACTTTCGACATTGATAAAGAGTTTTATGAAACAAATATTAGATGTTGGAAGTTGTCATTATAATAAATAATGAAGTAAATGAAATAGTGATTATAGAAACAAAATTGACTTCTATAGAAGACTAATATTGAATAAGATATTATTCGAGTTCGAATATAAACGGTATTTATTATTATATATAGGAACAAGTCCGAATATCCTAAAATTGATCTGATCATATCCATTAACAAGCTCAAAATCGGTCATCATTTATAATAGATAAGTTAAATTTTTTGTTTTTCTACCAAAATAGGTAAATATCCTGTTGAACCTAGAAATATTCGAAGATAATTTACATAAACCAATTTAAAAATGATATATATTATTGGTCGTTTTAGTAAAGATTGAACAAGTTTAAGAAGTTAAAAAAGAAGAAAGACAAAGACAAACAATTGAACTAATCACTAAAATAAATCGAATTATTTTATATTATCATTGAAGTTTTCTTAGTCAGTTGACTAAATAAATAGTTCTTCTCTTTATTTTCTACCTTCTTATTTACAACTATAATCCTAGATAAACAACAATTTATGTATATGTATAGTACGTGGTCTAGTGATATCAATCAATGTCGAATGCACTACGTGTCCCGCCACCTAAGATGAGACTCATTTTTGAAAGCTCCTATTTATAGCATATGAAGTACATTACTAATAAAGATTATTTATGAAGTCAAATTTTTCTGACCTAGTATAATCATGAAACTAAACTAAAATAAAGGAATTGATTTACTGACATCTTTTGCTTGTATTCATTGTCACACAAAATTGATTGTAACTTACTATGATTAAATTCTGCGTATAGTGAGCGTCACCATTCGCGTGGATTTTCAATTGCTTTTCTATCAAACTGGCAAAAACAAAAACAAAAAAAAAGCAAATCATATTGATTATCAATATTTAATATAAGATTAGAATACTTGAACGATTGATTCATCTTAATAGTTTTATTCTAAAGGTTAGAAATTTTAAATAAGAATTTCTATATTGTTTATTTATTTATTGATTGACCCAGTTAAATCATATATATTTACGTGATTAATTATATTTTATAAATAATATCTAAATCTAATTGAACTTATTTCAACTGATAATAAAATAAATCCTATTTATCAATTGAATTTATCATGAAGAGTTTCACAAGCAAATCCAATAGGAAATTCTTCGTATTTTCCTTTAAAAAAATCAAGAAAAACAAACATTTATTAAATATTGTAAATAATTAAGTATAAACTGATTGTGTTCAAGGCAAATATGTATTTATTAAATAAATAAGAATAGTTGTCTTATTCTATTATCAAATTATTCTCATGAGTCTAGACAAATATGGCTAACAAATGAAAATCTTCTTAAACTGGCTAACCAACAACCATGTTTTATCTATGGGCCAAGTCTCCTTACAATAAACTAATGAGTTCTTTCAGTGTATATTCAATGAATATGTGCATAGAACATAAGGTGATTGTAGATAGATATATAGGTAAATAATGAGTGGTCACTTTTTGGATTACGATCGAGGACGACAATCCTCTCGAAAAAGCAAACAACAAGGAATCTATGACGCAACGAGGTTAGTTAATTTGTTTTCAACTCTTATAGATAATTATCCTGAAAGATTTGTTTTTCTAAGAGTAGTTAACGCTTTTTTTTTTTTCTATAAAGGAATAATGTTCATTTCAGAGATAAATGACCATGATCATTTTTTGAATAACTTTTTATAGGAATAAGATAAAGACCTGGACTTTCCACTGACCGAAACGAGGAGATGAGAACGCATCGAAGCGTCGAGGATGTCCCATAAATAAGATAACGATAAGAAATGAAAATATCTCCATCTAGATGTCGACCAAACGAGCTCAAATTTTGACCAGTCATACGAGCAATATTCAAACTTTATATTGATAAAGACATTCATAGAGAGAACCTTTCTTAACTATCATTATTGACTTCAACACAAAAATTTTACTTTTTCACAAATACGAGAAAAAAAATAATATAGTTAAGAAAGGTTCTCTCTATGAATGTCTTTATCAATATAAAGTTTGAATATGGCTCGTATGACTGGTCAAAATTTGAGCTCGTTTGGTCGACATCTAGACGGAGAGATTTTCATTTCTTATTGCCATCGTATTTATGGGACAGCCTCTATATAGAAAAATTTTTCTAAACTTTTTAGATAAAAGTTGAATAAAAAGAGCATGCCTCTCATTATTCTAATAATAAAAAAGAAGATAAGATTTGTTTTTCTCTAAAATTTAACGGTAATAGTAATGTCTATTTAGTGGAGATTTTTTGAGTAACGTTTTCATATAAACAAGGCAGAGAGCTGTGCTTTTGGCTCGTTTCGAAACGAGGAGATGACGATGCGCGTCAAACCGTTTATTAGATTTATTTCTAGCATCTTCTCTCAAATTTATTTAATCAATTTTCTATGTGTGGAAATATGGTTTCTTATCAAAAAGAAAATAGTAAAAAAAAACTTGCTTTTTACAAAAATTGTTAGAAAAATTGGTTATAGCTTCGACTAGTATATCTATAACTGCCGAATAATAAATTGTAAACCATGTGAATCGTGTGCAGGTTTTTCAACCTCTCATTAATGGTTTGAATATAGACCTAACAATTAACAATTCACTCTAAAAACCTTACCGGATAGATTTGCTTTGAAAGAAGTCTAGGGGTTGTCTAAAAAAATCCTAACTTAGGGAATCAAATAATCAATGTTTTTAATTTATATTCTTTTTGTAATATGGTTTACTCTACTTGAATCATTATTTGAAATTATGATAGATACTGTACATCAATTCATTAAATAGATCAAATAATAGAATTGAATCTTACTTTGTAAATGCTAATCAAGCCATATGTCCACTAAGAGAAAAATCATGTAGAATAGCTGATGTTAATTTCATTTTTTGACACCAATGAAGTAGCATAAGTGTTTCTGAAACAAGTACTTCACCCATGATATGTAAATTGGTAACATATAATAATGATGGACGAGATTGATCTGGTGGTTTTCTTAAACCATAATATGGATTTTCAAGAAGAATTGAACCTATAGGATATTGATTAATTAATGAGACTGCAGTAAATAACCATCGTCGATTAAAACCATGATCACGTGATAGAACAAGTTGAAAATGAGCTGTAGCTATTTGAGATGGAACCTATTTAAATAAATATAAGAAAAGAAAAAAGATAATATTAATTAAATGATTAAAATAATTTTAATTACTTACCAAATCTGGTAAATAATGGGCAAGTGGTGAACGAAATCTAGCATTTATATTATTTTGATTACCTTTTTCTTTCTTGTTTAATTATTTCAACAGTATTTTCCTGTACATTTTCAGCTGGTACAAGTTCTAAACACTCATCTCTTACGCCAATTTTTTCAGGTCGATAGGTAAAAATTTCTTGTAAATGAAATGGATTTCCCCAACCACGTACAAATGATTGAGTTAATATAAAACGTCGAAAGAGATTATCGAAATTCATCATTTCAATCGTACTCGAATCTTTAATTTGATCTAGAGAATTGTTGATCTGATCTTCTTTTTCTTTAATCGAACAAAAAAACCTAACATGAATATTAAAACAAAGTAAGATAGGATAATAAAAGATATTCGAAAGTTTACCATCACCAACTTCATCTAAAGCTTTGCCAATCAAATCAGCTGCACGAGCATCATCTTTTGCTGTAATAACATTTGCTTGACGACTTTGTTCCGTCTGGTTTTTTTTTATCAGAAAAAACAAACTCATACAAATTTTATTCTTATTGATTTACTTTTTCGACTAAAAATCGTTGTTTTTCAACATCTTGTTGGGCAACTTGTTTTAATTCAATAGCATTTGTAAATTCAGGTCTAAAACTTAAATGTGTCTAATTTAAAGAAAAAAACCAATATAATCAACTCGAGACTCTTTTTTGTTGTATCTTACAATTGAAATATCATCAAGTAATAAACTAAATTGAGCAGCACGTTCTGTTAATAATTCACTAACACGTTGAGAAATAAGTGTACGTTGTGTAATCAATTCAATAGCATCAAATTGAGCCTAATAATCAATTTAATTATTCATAGTAACAAAAACAAAAGTGTCTGAGACTTACTACAACAGATTTTAAAACTTCATTAGTAATCGATAGTAAAACACGTTCTTCATAATCCAAACCCAAATTTGTAAAAATTTTCGGTAAAAGTTCAGCTCGTGGCCGATAAAGAATACGTAATGTTATGTTCATTGCTTGTAAATCTAAAATAAAAATAATAAAATATAATTTATGCTTTTTTTTTATTTACACGAAGATGAAACAACGGAAACTTCAGGCTTGAATTTTTATGAAATTTCCTAAGATTGGTGAATGATGAGAGTGTAGAGGTGTAAACTGATTGGCTGAGTTGCCATCGATGATCGCAAAATTTTTAAGATACCTCAGCCATATACATCGACTGATGTTTCAAAAGACATTATATTTACCTTTATTTTTTTTACGAGCTTACATTTTCAGTACTGAAGTTTTCTCATGCTTACTCATCTTCTGAAGTCGACTGTTTTTCTCTAGATTTTATATCCTTTGTTCCTGTTATTAAATAATTGGTCTATGAAGTCATGGAATAATAAAATGAGTTTCTTCTCCAATAACATCCAGTTTAACACCTTGAAAACGATCAAAAATAACAGTTCAATAACCACCATCAACTAGAATATATTTATATTTAAAGAAAACAAGTTTTTTTTTTTATCTTTTCATTACTTACCATTATAAAGCATAGAATTAATCACACCATCAGTAATAGCTAAAGCAATACCAATTCTTCCTAAAGCAATAAATTCTTCTGTCGAAATAAAATATTATTTCAATATCTTACCAATATTATTAAATAAACGAGATGAAGCCATTGTCTTTTTATTCTTCTGAAAGAAAAACATGCATAATCATAATCAAATTAAATTTGTTTAGTTGTTTTGTTTTCATTAGCAAATAGTTCCAGAAATAAAACAAAACCATATGAAAATTCTTCATATCTCTATCGATAGAAAAAGAAAATGTATCACTATTTTATCTATCTGCTACAATAACAAACCAATGTAATATATACATAGAAAACGATTAAATAACAATAAACTTTGAAAGTAAAAAAAAAACTACATACATACTTTTAAATAAATCGAAATCCACTTGAAAAAATATGAGCACCATTTAGATATTGTTCATCGATTCGATTGTCGAGCTTGACCACGGTTATTACGTGTCAGAAAATGTTCACCATTGGGTTTTAATGAATTCGATATATCACTGTTCTTTGCTACTGTAGCAGCAATTGCTTCGGGTGCTGAAACAGTCTATAAAGAAATTATTTATATCATAGAAAAAAAAAATGTTTTTCAATTACTATAATTTGATTTTGTTGAAAAAAATTGTTGTGGAAATGATGCACCATCAACACGAAAATCTTCAAGATTTTTATAGTTTTTTAAAATTTCTTCAAGTTTTGGATTGATTTTTGGTTTTTGTCGAGAATATTTAAAAAATGTCCAGAATTTTTCTAAACCATATAATTGATCTAAATAGAAAAATTATTTTTGTTATTGACACTTTTCTTTTTTTTTTTTTTGTGTAATCTATTTTATTACCAGCTTCATGATCACCAAGAATTTCTTGTTGAAAATTTTCAAATACATGTTGACGAAAATGTTTTTCTATACCATATGTATAAAATCGAAATAGACATTCAACACCATATCTATACATAAATAGTAATATTCAATTTTTTTGCTTATTGTTTTTCATAAAAACAATTCATTTATATGCCGATGATCAGTTTTAGTATCTTCAACAGCATATTGTTTAAATTCATTGTACATATGACGATTAAAATTTTCACATAAGAAAAATGACTAAAAACGATGGAGTGTATTCATTTCTAGTGATTGACCAGGATCAAGTTTAACGCGTTCTAGAAATTAGATCATTGCAGAAAACAAAATGTATTTTATTTGTAAATCAACATAACTTTAGATTATAAATATTTTCTATGAAATAATAAAGTTTAGCGATTAGTAAAACTTAGTGTTTTTAATTATTGACGATTATTTTATTGTTTTTCAAATTTATCATGTAAATAAGAATGATAGTATTTATTAAAAATACTCCATAAAAGAGTAAAATCTTTGTTTTGTTTTTAAATTATAGCAACAGACATATTCTCTATTATCTATTTAAATAAGAATATAAGTCTTTTTAGACTCTGATTTTTACTGGAGAGTAGTTTTCATTGTTGTTTCTAGATATGTTGACTCTTCTTTAGGCATTAAAAGACTCGTTTTTTATACGTTCAATGCAACATAATTTCAATTTTTTTTTACCAGTAGCTTGTTTCTCTCAAAATATTGTAAATATGTACTGAACTAATAATCTTTTTGTGTACTCAAAAAGTGAGTACACTCTAGAATCGGTCAGTGTGTCCGTCCGTGTACACAATAACTCTTCACAATTACATCCGATTGAGCTGAAATTTTGCGCACAGAATTGTCTCATCAATATCTCGGTCGAGTTCGAAGATGAGAAGGATCCGTCAAGAAATGGCTGAGTTATCGAAAAAATTGTCATTTTTGACCAGACCATCCCTGAGGGGGGATACAGGGATTTTTTCAAAAAAAATATTTTTCTCAGAATTATCCACAACATATATAAATCGACTCAGTTTTTAACGCTGATTCCGAATCTGATATTAGTTTTGAACCAAATCGTAGTTTTCTAACGAAACATTGCCTGAAAAAGGTCTCAAAATGCACAAAAACAGCATCCAGAAACCAAATTGCCTAGATATGTCTCAGATGACCAATAGTTTTGGGGTTTCCCAAATGCCTGGTTTTGTAGCTAGTCAAAAGGACCATCGAAAGGTAAAAACCCGAACTCGATAGCTATTAATATTGGTGATTTATTATGAAAATACTGATGCCTGTATCTATCATATATCTCTTATAGATTCGTGATGTTGCTTACGATCGTAATCCCGCTAAATACAAACACAAATCCATTCAAAAATAACTCTTCTTACCCAGTTTTCCAATCTGAACACGAATCTGAACTCAATTTCTGTGATTTCTAAAGATATAATATCACTCTGAGAGTAGAGCCAGTGGTCACCGGATAGGATCGCATACAGTGTGATCTATGCTAACTTAGCACGCCTGTGTTTTTCTCCTTGTAATTTAGTGACAAGAGATGTATCTTGACGAGCTCTGTCTTGCAGAAAAAAATAAATACAGAGCCTACTGCACCAAGTGAGAAAAGTCCAAAATACCGCCTCTCGTAAGGTACTATTTCGTTGAATTTACGCAGTTTTTGGCTTATATTACTTTTTTATCTCATAACTTACTCATTTGAATGTAGTGAATTTATATAGATTAAACTGTTTTCTGTCCAATTGAGACCTTCTTTAGCTCAAAGGGCCAAACCGCTCACGAGACAAGGTTAAAATGCCGAGCATACACTCAAGATAGTTTATTTTTATTATTAAACTGTCTAAAATATCCATCCTTGAGCGCACTAAGGAACTGCCCCTTATGCCCTGCGGATGCCCTCTTTTTCAAGTACACATAACACTCGGATTTAAATCCGAGGTTTTCGCATTTATTTTTCTCTATAATCAACGTTTCTTTTTTACCATCAAGACATTCTTGTTCATATTTAAGATAATCTTGTTAAGTAAAACCATTTTGTTGTAAAAGTGTATGAGATGGATATTGAAATTGAGGAATTTCCACCGGTGTTAAACCATAAAAGTCATATGAATTTGAATTATTTCCATGCCGATAATGTGAATCATTGTATGACGATGAATATTGATCATAGAAATCTTGTTGTCGAATTCTAAATAAGTAAAACTCATTTTATATTGATAATAATCGACATTCAATTGTTTGTATTAGGAACAAAAAATATAAGAAAATTCGTCAAAAAAAAAAAAAATAACGCAACACAAGTTATTTTTTCCAATATCCATTTACCTTACCCATATTGAACGATAAGAAAAATGATCTTATTATCTGTAATAAGTAATGTGAAAGCAAAACACTTAGAAACGCAGTGTTTTTAACTTCTTTTCTTAACGATACTAACTACTATTCATTTCAGAATAAGGTGTGCTCTATTGTTTTTTGAATAGATTTTGATAGAAATATCACAGAGACCTGGAGTTTTCACCATTCAAGGGAGAAGATCCGAAGCCATCAAAATATATCAAAATTTCATTGGCTAATTGGACAAGTTTTTGGCGAGAATTTTGGAAGGTTCCGGATATTCTCTCTTGAATGGTGAAAGCCGAAGATCTCTATGATGTTCCTATCAAAAGTTATTCAAAAAAAACGATGGGACACATTATATTTTAAAATGAGAAGTAGAACAAATCAAAGAATTATTAAAACATTTTTTATTTTAAATAATAAAAACAGAAACTTTTTTAAATTGGCATCAGCTGTTTCTAAGTTTCGTTGAACTTTGTCATAATTATCTCTTAGTCCAGTCATTGTTTGACGAATAGTTGACTTATATTAAAAATCAATCAATAAATAAATAAATACTTGTTTATCTCTAGCTTGTTCGTATAATTTTTTAAAATTATTCAAGCCATTGTTTTCTTTTTGAATCAATGAAATCATATATTTGAATTAAATCATCAATTGGTTGACTTAAAATCGATAAAGCATCATTTGTTCTATATGGAGAACGATAACAACGTGCAACATCATTCAAATGAAATTCTTTCCATGATTTTGATACATCATTATCAATACTTTTATTTAACTAAACATTGTTTTATTTTTTTTAATTTAATTATTTAACTTACAAAATCTTTATCTATTTTCCAAGGATCAGACAATATTTACAAGAATCTCGAATATAACGACCTCGATGGTAACAATCAGGTAAATCATAATTTCTATATTAATAAAAATAAAGAAACAAAATATTTTCATTTTTTATTTTTGAATTTCTTTCTTTAACCATATCGATAAATATCCTATTCGAATAAATTTATTTTCAAAACGTTTTTATAAGGATCGATTAAATTTGTTTTCCTAAGAAATTTTTAATCGATAATTCGAACTATTTTATCATTGTTTCATCTTATAGAACGTTTCTATCCAGCAGTTTAAAACAGATTAATGTTTCGAGGATAGATTATTAAAATAATAAATAATTTTCGTTGTCAATCTTTATATATAATAAGATAATCAATATAGATTCATCTAGAAATCGATTTATATAATAAATAATGAATTTTTGACCAAATGCAAGGAGATAGTTAACTATTTAAATTAGCTTTGAAAAAATAACAATAAAGATTTAATATGAAAGTTTGGTTTTTTTAATTCTAAGAATATGAAAACTATTCTTTAAATCTATTTGAATAATATAAAACATTTCCTAGATTTGAAAAATTCTTTTTAACAATTTGAATACTCTTCAAAGCAAATGATATTTTATTTTTGAATAAAGATTTTTTTTAATGAAAAAACAATAATATATAATTATTATCTTAACTCGACAATAATAACATAAAATAATTTCATTATAAAACTATAGAAAAATTTTTAACAAAAAAAGAACACTAGCAAAGGGTTAACTCAATTAAATTAAAATAAATAAATTGAATAAAATCTTATTTCTATCAATATTAGTCTAACCATTGAAATGATTTATTATATTAATATAAGATTTCATTTATTTATTTAAGAATTTGATTTATTTCAATAAATATCTTCCATTCGTATAATATATGTTAAATCGATCGAGTTATTTCGATTTCTATTGAAAATAATTCTTTGAATATTATTATATCTTTCGAATATAAGTTATCAGTTTTTTTTTCCCCTCATTTCAATATTAAAAAACTATTTTATTAAATCGAAATAAACCAAACATAAATAAAGATAATAAATAAGATTTATTTTTATTTTTAAATAGAATATATCAATTCTATATATTATTTTATTTTTGAATCTCTAATATAAATAAATCTATTAATATTATAATATAACCATATTCAATAGAATTACAATTATAATAACAAAAACAAGAGAAACATCTTATTATATAAATCGATTATTTAAAATGTTAATTAAAATAAATATATATATAATGAAAAAAAATTTATATAGAATAAGTTGTTGTCTTTTTATTTAAATTAAAAAATGAAAATCTCATCCAAGGATACGCTGCAAGACTTGATCGTCTTGATCGTTGTTCGGCATTTGATCGATTATTATCAGATAAATAATTCTCATTTGCTAATCTCTCAATAAAAGGATTCTTTCTATTAAATGATGTCATGCGTACTCTTTTTTTTCAATATAATAATTATATAACGAAACGACGAAAAAGAACAGAGAACTCTTCGATAATCAATTCTTTACCAAATATTCGAATATAATATAAACAAATCATATTCTAATAGAGATATCACTTTTATATATTATTTATTTCTAACGGTTAACAATTTATCGAGATAAACTTAGACTTATTTTAAATAATTAACCATTTACATTGAAATAAAATCTTCTATTTTACATCGAATTATCTTTTATTTTCATTGAGAATTTGTTTTTTTCGATTCAAATATTCTAATAAGGTATAATATATGTAAAATCTCGTTTTGGTCTTCAAAGATAAGACAACTATCAATCTTATTCTATAGTCAACATTTTACCTCGGGAATAAAATAAAATCAGTTTACCGGATATATTATATAGGATAAAATTCCAAAATGATGATATCTATTTATCGTCTAGAGATATCTAACATCTATTTAAACTACTCGAAACGAATTATCAAATCACCTTGGCCAACATATATATATAGCAATTGAGAATATTTTCAAATTATTCTCTAAAATCTCGATTAGGATAGAACTAATCTTTAGATGTTATGATCAAATCAAATGTTTAGAGATTAATGATAATAGGGAGGATCGAAAAAGTGCTTATGTTATATGGTAACGATATCTGCAAGAAAGAAAATAATCTTATGTTTTATTTTCATGCTAATAGAGTTGGGTGTGAGTGTGGGTTTTTATCTTCTCTTTACTTACACCCACACCCTAGTTTGTTATGTACAAGTTAATACATTTCGGACGAAAATTAGGTCAATCCTGAGAAGTACTATATTCTAATGAAAATAAAATTCAGTAACGATGAAAATCACTTGAAATGAAAGAAATTCATCAATCTTAAATGTGTAAAAATTTCAATTTTTGCACAACTAACATTTCTTTAAAGAAAAGTCGAAAAACTATACGTTAAAAAAAATGTTCACGCAAAAATTTCTCAGAAATTTCTCAAATACATATATATGTCGTATCGAAGTTATAACTTCGATAAAAATTTTATCGAAGTTGTAACTTCGATAAACATATTTCATCGAAGTTATAACTTCTATAAATTATTTCATCGAAGTTACAACTTCGATAAAGTGAGGTTATCGAAGTTGTTTGGATGCAATTAAATTGGCAAATTGTTGATTATTTCAATAATATTATCAGACTTGTTAGCAACAGATCATTTCTCTACTAATGACAAACATTTATTTGATAGAAAACTCAACAATCATAAACCATTAATAAATATTGAGACTAAACATTTTTTTATCTCTTCACTTTTTTTTGTATTTGTTCAGAAAACAAGAGATAACTCGTAGAAAAGGTGATCATAAATATTGATGAACCATAATCAGGAATAGAAGTATAGACTGATCGTCACTGTATAGAAAATAGCTGCTTTAAATAAAATATTAATCACGTATAGATCAGTTGTATAAGCTAATTATATGATTAATAACCTTTACAATCGAAACTATTCGATAATTGGATTATAATAAATGAATCAGTTTCAATGGAAGCACAAGTAAATGCAAACGCATAAAGTATGTCACATTTGCTCATAATCTCAATTTAAAATTCTTCTCAATTCACAACTAATTCTGAAACCATGTACAAATTGATGACTTTATCTGCATTGTCTCCTGTAGTAACAAGAAAGCATAAATGTTTTAAGAACAACATTCAGATATCCTCATCAGTAACAACTAAAACATCGGCTTCAACTACATGTTCTTTCATGAAACTTACAGCATTATCGATAATACAAATTGTAAAGATAAGTTTAACATATCTGATCTATACGTGGTTATTATTTTATTTAAAGCAGCTATTTTCTATACAGTGACGATCAGTCTATACTTCTATTCCTAATAATGGTTCATCAATATTTATGATCACCTTTTCTATGAGTTATCTCTTGTTTTCTGAACAAATACAAAAAAAATGAAGAGATAAAAAAATGTTTAGTCTCAATATTTATTAATGGTTTATGATTGTTGAGTTTTCTATCAAATAAATGTTTGTCATTAGTAGAGAAATGATCTGTTGCTAACAAGTCTAATAATATTATTGAAATAATCAACAATTTGCCCATTTAATTTCATCCAAACAACTTCGATAACCTCACTTTATCGAAGTTGTAACTTCGATGAAATAATTTATCGAAGTTACAACTTCGATAAAATTGTTCATCGAAGTTATAACTTCGATAAAATTTTTATCGAAGTTATAACTTCGATAAACATGCTAACTTCGATACGACATATATTCTCTTTCTCGTAGAGAAGAGTCTTGCAAACATAAATTGTCTGTTTGCTTGATTGCTTGATTGCTTGTATGTCCGCACTTCACTGATTGGTCGAAGAATAAGGCAAAGATATAAGTGGAATTTTTTTTACAAGGGTTGGCCGAAGGGTAATCGGGGTCGAGGAACTCGAATCTGATGTTAGTTTTTAAAAAATTTTTTTCCGATCGATTTTTTTTACACAAAGGACCACTTTTTTACAAAAATTTTTTTTTTTATAAGGGTTGACCGAAGGGTAATCGGGGTCGAGGAACTCGAATCTGATGTTAGTTTTTAAAAATTTTTTTTCCGATCGATTTTTTACACAAAGCACCACTTTTTTACAAAAAAATCTTTTTTTATAAGGGCTGACCGAAGGGTAATCGGGGTCGAGGAACTCGAATCTGATGTTAGTTTTTAAAAATATTTTTCCGATCGATTTTTTTTACACAAAGCACCACTTTTTTTACAAAAAAATTTTCTTTTATAAGGGTTGACCGAAGGGTAATCGGGGTCGAGGAACTCGAATCTGATGTTAGTTTTTAAAAAAATTTTTTCGGATCCATTTTTTTTTACACAAAGGATCACTTTTTTTATAAGGCTTGTCCGAAGGATAATCGGGGTCGGGGAACTCGAATCTCACGTCAGTTTTTTGTAATCTTTTTGCGGATTATTTTTTTTAGACAAAGGACCACTGTTTTACTAAAAAGAATTTTCTTATAAAGTTTGATCAAAGGTAATCGAGGTCGAGGAACTCGAATCTGAGGTCAGTTTTTTGAAATTTTTTTGCAGGTAAGTCTTTTTAGGCAAAGGACCACTTTTTTACTAAAAAAATTTTTCTCTTTCTCGTAGAGAAGAGTCTAGCAAGAATAAACTGTTTGCTTGCTTGTGTGTCCGCACTTCACTAATTGATCCAGGAATAATGTGAAAACAAAAGGGATGATTTTCCTTTAAATCTTGACCAAAGGTAATCGAGGTGGGAACTTCAAATCCGAGATTAGTTTTAACTAATTATTAATTATTAAGATTTTCTGAAAAACTTAATGAAAAGTAATTGAGGGTGAGGAATCCGAATCCGAGGTCGGTTTTTATTAATTATTTATTAATGAGTTCTCACAAGTCAGACCTTCCAGTGTTCAGGAAGTTGAATTCAAATGTCTAGATAAACTTGATAGAAAAACACACCGAAAATGTGCTCATTTCACTTTTTGAAATGGTGTAAACAAATAATTTGCTAAGAGTTCAGAAACACCACTTCTACGAGAAAGAGGCGAGCGAGGCGGCAGACGAGCGTTACTTGTGTATATTGAAGATAATAAAGACGTCCAATAAAAAATATATTGTTCAGTAGAGAGACAAACGCTATCTTAGTCTATATAATTTAGACATGTATATATTTCAGGCATTCTTAAAATAAAGATCACATTTTGTAAAAATAAAACACACCTATTTTTTAAGTTACTGGAGTTGATGAATTCTCTTGTTTTGTATCCTTATTTGAAGATGAGCAATGTGAAGGAGAAAGACAACACCCTATATATATATATATGTAACATGAAAATTTTTTTTGTCAACGATGACATGATATAGATGTATGTTAGACGAGAAAAAAAATCATCAAATCAATTAAAACAGAAATGGAATGATTGATAAAAAGTCAGTCAAAATTTTGAACATTGGTCAATTAATCTCCGAGTATATAAAAACATGCATACATCATTATGAAATCATACACTCGAGTTGTATTATTATAATGCATTACAATGTATTTATATACCCGGGATTATTATTTATTATTATTATGATATTATTTACAATGATAATGATATTATTAAATTCTATATGAGGTAAATAATAAATTCATTATATATTTAACCCTAGTACTCCCAAGCCTGTTTTTGTTTTGTTCATAAATGCAGAAGAGAAGAAAGGAAAAGTAAGGAAAACATTTGTACAGCAGAATGACACTCTGTTACATCTATGTTTCTTTCATGTGAGACGACTTTATAACATTCATAATGTATTTCATACTTTAATCCATGAAAAAAAAGTTTTCATAGCATTTTCTTGCTTTTGACCACAGCGTCCATTTGGACCCTGGTTGGTAGTATTAGGGTTAATAATACTTTTTTTTTCTTTTTTTTAGATGAGTTTCGATACTATACAATATTGAGAGGTAGGAAAAAAAATTTGTTTTTACATATTCAGTTGAGTTGAGATAAGTTATTTCGAGAAAAAATAAATACTATCGGTTATTATGAGTATGAGTATGAGTACTTTTGAGATGAGATGAGATGAGTTGAGTTGAGTTATGAATGTTATTAGTATGGGTCAGAGAACTACGTTGTCTGATTCAATAGGTAGAGGAACTTTTGTGCCATAGCGAAGCAGTGTAGTACTAGGGAAGACCTCTATGTGTCGTTGGTCCCTACCATTCATACGGCATACCTTCGGCCGTTGCCCTACCAGTCTGGCGTGGTCCGCCTGTGGTACCTATGGCATTCACAAGGGATCTCTCCCTTGTTGCGCGCGTGCGGGTAAGCCAAAATGAGCCAAGAAAAATCGAAACGATTAGCAATGTGAATAAATTTGTTGAGCAAGCGAAAAGAAAAAATCACAGTTACATTTTCTTTTTTACATAGTCAATTGAGTTTGTGACTGTTTTAATATTAGGATGATTAGGTAGAAGTGATTTTTGGAAGATAACAAGTGCCTTTTCTAAGAATGAGAGTGCTTTCGAGTAGTCTCTTTTGCCGGAATACGCCATACCGATGTTGTTGTAGGAAGCAGCCAAATGAGGATGATTCGAAGGCAGAGCTTTTTCGTAGATTTTATGTGATTTTTCGTAAAATTCAAGTGCTTTCGAGTAGTCACCCATGTTCTTATACACGAGACCGATGCAAATGTAGGAAGTAGCCAAATCGGGATGATTCGGAGGCAGAGCTTTTTTCGTGATTTCGAGATCTTTTTCGTAAAATTCAAGTGCTTTCAAGTAGTCACCCATGTTGTTATACACTCCACCGATGTTGTTGCAGGAACTAGCCAATGAGGGATGATTCGAAGGCAGAACTTTTTCTCTTATTTGAAGTGATTCTTCGTAAAATTCAAGTGCTTTCGAGTAGTCACCCATGTTCTTATACACGAGACCGATGTTGCTGTAGGAAGTAGCCAAATCGGGATGATTCGGAGGCAGAGCTTTTTCTCTTATTTGAAGTGATTTTTCGTAAAATTCAAGTGCTTTCGAGTAGTCACCCATGTTCTTATGCACGAGACCGATGTTGTTGCAGGAACTAGCCAATGAGGGATGATTCGAAGGCAGAGCTTTTTCTCTTATTTGAAGTGATTCTTCGTAAAATTCAAGTGCTTTCGAGTAGTCACCCATGTTGTCATACACTCCACCGATGTTATTGTAGGAAGTAGCCAAATCAGGATGATTCGGAGGCAGAGCTTTTTCGAAGATTTTATGTGATTTTTCGTAAAATTCAAGTGCTTTCGAGTAGTCACTCATGTTGTTATACACTTGACCGATGTTGCCATATGAAATAGCCAAATGAGGCTGATTCGAAGGCAGAGTGTTTTCGTCGATTTGAAGTGATTTTTCGTAAAATTCAAGTGCTTTCGAGTAGTCACCCATGTTGTCATACACTCTACCGATGTTATTGTAGGAAGTAGCCAAATCGGGATGATTCGGAGGCAGAGCTTTTTCGTCGATTTTAAGTGCTTTTTCGAAAAATTCAAGTGCTTTCGAGTAGTCACCCATGTTCTTATGCACGAGACCGATGTTGCTGTAGGAGCTCGCCAAATTGGGATGATTCGGAGGTAGAGCTTTTTCGTCGATTCTAAGTGATTTTTCGTAAAATTCAAGTGCTTTCGAGTAGTCACCCATGTTCTTATGCACGAGACCGATGTTGTTGTAGGAAGTAGCCAAATCGGGATGATTCGGAGGCAGAGCTTTTTCGTAGATTTTATGTGATTTTTCGTAAAATTCAAGTGCTTTTGAGTAGTCACCCATGTTCTTATGCACGAGACCGATGTTGTTGTAGGAGCTCGCCAAATTGGGATGATTCGGAGGTAGAGCTTTTTCGAGGATTTTATGTGATTTTTCGTAAAATTCAAGTGCTTTCGAGTAGTCACTCATGTTGTTATACAGTTGACCGATGTTGTTGTAGGAAGTAGCCAAATCGGGATGATTCGGAGGCAGAGCTTTTTCGTCGATTTTAAGTGCTTTTTTGGCAAATTTCAAGTGCTTTCGAGTAGACACCCATGTTGTTATACGCGAGACCGATGTTGCTGTAGATAGAAGCCAATGTCAGATGATCTTCTGGAAGAATTTTTCGGTTGATTTCGAGGGATTTTTTGTGAAACATAATTTCGTTTTCATATTGACCCTGTTTCCATTTCACTCTACCTAACTCGTGATAGATATGTGCTTTATCGCTGTCGTTAGAAGCCTGTTCTAATAGTGCTGTATATAATTCTTCGGCCTTGTCAAATTGACTTATTTGAAGCAGCAATTCACCCAGTCGATACCATCCAGTGCTGCCCGATGTTTCTTGTCGTATACGGTCGGTTAATTGACGAAGTTGTTGGTCATCATCTGACGTGAGTTTGAGTTCCACTTCATAAAGTGGACCTTTGTTGTCAAGTTTTCGAACTTCACCAATTCGAAAAACTGAATGCATCGAGAAGAGAATTTCCTCTTCGTCCTTGAAATAACTCATCTCCTGGATGGAGGCAAAAGGAGTCGATGAGACTGTGGGATCGATGGTTATTTGAAAGAGGATACCAACCATATCGGTTGCTCCTAAGGTGCCTTCAGTAAAAGCGAAGGAGACATCACGATCTGTGCTGGTGGATAAAAAATTATTGAAAGATATGAGACCACCTTTGTTTTTTGCGAGTTTCTCGAAGTCTCCTGTCGATAATCCTTGGCCCCTATAAATTACAAAGGACTTTCCATGATATTGACTGACCTGTTGGCTGTGTAATTCTTCAATTTGTCGATGAACATCACACAGGAAAAATCCCATTCGGATGATAATGTCGCCATCCAATGTTCGTAATGCTCGATTGAGCATTTTGAACGTGAAGCATTGGCGTGTATACCACCATAATGCCAATGTTGGATGATAAGTACGTTGAAATTCATCGATTAACTTGAGTTCGCTGGTATTGTCCTTGTATTGTTCTTGGCAATATGTAACGAAGTGTTTAATGGCTTCTTGACCATGTTCCATATCAAGTAGGATTTCCTTGAATATTTGGGTGTACATAAAGAAAGGTTCTAGCTGATTGAGATTTTCGCTAGAACCTCCTTCATTCACACCAATAATACTGACGGATATATCATCTTTATTATATTGCTTCACAGTCATTGCCAGCGCTTGACATATGGAATCCATTGACGTATGGACACCTTTAATTTTGGTCCAGTTTTTGGTCCATGTTTCTTGACGTTGTTTGTCGCCACAAAAGATGTAAATACCATATAACTGTGGCATGCCACGGATATATGGCACGAGATCCTGACCTAAATATTCCGAAGCAATGAGAAAAACCTTCTCCAGACTAATGCTTTTAAGAAACTGGATACATTCATCTGCTTCTGTAAATGTATTAACGTCGTTGATAATGCCTTGTACTTGTGCAAGCTTCTTTTGCCAATCTTCTTCTGATTTGTCGATAGTGCCATCGACCCAGATGACCAAATAATTTTCAGCTATGCGCCGTCTTCGTTGTACACTCATTTTCGATGCAATGTTTGCTGTTGGCGCGGTAATCGAGTATTGGAAATAATGGATTGTTGTTTGGTAGAGATTACCTTTTCTATTTATACGCTGGATACCTCGCTGTTTTCTTTCTAGATTGTTCTATGACATGAAATATAAATGTGTTTTTCTTTTTAGTTGACACTCGAGGACAAATTTCACCTAGTTGTAATTGAAAATATGTTTGTCAATAACAAATGAAAGAGAAACAATCTAACAACGTCATTTATTCTATTGTTATTCTTTCCAACTTTCGTTTGTTTTTCATCTACATAAGAATCACTTGAAAACTAATGCGCTGGATACCATCTCTCATTGATTGTTTTTTTTTTTTTTTTTTTTTTTTTTCGATTCTTTTCGAAAAAAAAAGAGTTTTCTCATTCTGGCAAGAACGAAAAAAAACCAACAACAAAGACGTCGTCAGTTTAAATTTTTTTCATCATGCATACAGCTGACATGCTCATAATGTGAACGAAACAAGAAGCAGCATAATTTCGATTTTAATTGAGGCAACAATGGAATAATGGCTTCTACTTGCCAAATATACTGCTGATTATTAATTATTATCTATTTCAAAATAAAAGAAGGATGAGTATTTTTGGAATAATTTTGATAGGAACAAGATAGAGATCTGAAGTTTTTACTGTTTAAAAGATGAGATGAAACTACATCAAATCGCATATACCAAATTTTTCTGACAACTGTTGTCAGGGTCTCCCACCAAGTTTTTTTTAAAAAATCGAGGCTTTTAAATAGGTTTGTAAAGTGGTTTTTTGGTCAAAAGACCAGAGAAAGAACGTCAATTTTTTTGTGAAAAATCTACCGGTAAAACGTTGTAAAATGTTTATAACTCATGATTGGTTACACCTTACAATATCGGACTTACATAATTTATAGATATTTAGTTGATGATTCTAGTGCATTCCTGGAAATTAAAATTCTAAAACTTTTACATTACACAATGTTTTGTTTTTAATAAACTTGCCAGTAGACCCTGACAATAGTCGTCAGACAAATTTGGCATATGTTATTCTATGCAGTTTCATCTTCTCTTTTAAATGGTGAAAATCGCAGATCTCTACTTTGTTCATATCAAAAGTTTTTCCTAAAATACTCATCCTTCTTTTATTTTGACATGAATAATATTGAGTGAAGTAAAACAATTGTTCTCATTATGCTTAACTTCCAGTGATATGTATCATGCCTCATGGCTATTACAGTGTTTCAGTTTGAAAATAATGCAAGATTGAAGTAGCTATCACCAATTTGAAAATGAATGAAATACTTGAATGAAGGCTTTTCATACAAATGTAGTAAACAAGCAAAAGTTTTATTTTAATTGTCATCTAAATTTCACCTGGAAATCCACTCTAGCCGCTACTGACTAGGTAGTGCAATGCTTTGACAGCTGCTTAATTACGGTTATGATCTTTAGTCATTTCTTGTCCTAAACAGTTCTAATTCAAATTCGAATCAATATTCCGAATAAAATTAGTCATTGTTTAGCAGCATTAGTCGGATTCCGTGAGTTCTAAACTCCTGGAACACTCAAAAGTGCAGTTCCACTCACAACACTCTCGGAATCCACGAAATCCAAGAAATTTTCAGAAAGATGTACGTGTAGGTTTTGGTTCTTTCGATATCCACAGCCACACTCATATTCGAGAGAGCAGTGCAATTGTTTACAGTTAGTGTGTAAACAAAATGTGATATTGTCAATTTTGTTTGAAACATTAGAATTGATCTGTTACCTAAATTTCAACAGATTATTGAATTCTGGACACATCTGGACACATCCTTCAATGAGGTAAATGACATTCTGAGAGTGTGTAAGTGAGACTAGAAGAATGAATGTATCATCATTCACACTCTTGCTAAAATGATTTTTGATGTATCTTATATTCATTTGGAATATGTGTAAAATAAAAAGAAACTTTGTTTTCTTTTAAGATTCTAACTGCTGATCTTTCATTAATCTCTATTACGATTCATGAAGAAATAATATTCAAATTGTGTTTGTTTACAATTGAGATTCATACAATTTTAGTGTGCATCACAAGGACAACGAGAAAACGTCTATTAGGAGAGTCATCTATGTTTGCATACAGCTAACAAATAATGAAAATTATTACAGTTATTTTTTTAACTAAAATCGACAGTAATATTGAACACGTAACTAAAAAAGAACATCGTCATTGTAGCGCATGTGGCATGTCGTTGCACAAACGAAGAAGTGTATTCCGTGAATATAGAAATTAGTAGTAACATTGATTGCATGATTTTGTTGAATTTCTTCCGAAAATATAACTATGACAAACAAGAAAGATCAACAACAAAAAAGTACATTAACAACGAACGCGCCAATGAAATAAAAACATACATTAATGCAGTTTTGTTATTGTTGCCATCGATGTTTTTTCTTCTTACATTCGGATGTGAAAGTAGAATATGTAAACAAAGGACTGCTAAAAAAGGTAATATTGCATTTTTTTCTTTCTTTGCCTCTTTGCGACTGTCTCTCTGTGTTCTTCTATCGTGTTGACGAGTTTGAATCAATCGAAATGTCTTAAAAATCAATTCAATGCTGTTCATTACATTATGTTTATTTCATCTCTTTCCACGGTTATTGTTATGACACCATCTACTTTGCTGAAACGTATATACTAAATATGATTAAGTTCATGTTCAAAAGATCGTTAAAATCGAATGAATATTCAAGAATCAGTTCTCTAGGGCGTTCAACTTTTTTCTCATTGTGATACGAATGTTTTAAAATTTGTCATGGTGTAAATAGAGGTTTTTCGGAAGTTTTATTAGCTTGCAAAAAATGTTTACATTATAAAAGGAAGACAATGATGGTGTAGAAAATATTGGTAAGAAATGAAAGAAAGATATTACTAAAACTTGAATTTAGAATAAATCTCTAGATTTGCATAACAGACTGACTTCATATTTAAATCAACTTATGTTGTCATTCGGGTACATCAGTAGAGCCAGATGAAGTCGATGATTATTCAGAAATTAACAAAAATAAAGTCATGAACGACATAGTATTCAGTTGTTTTGTTTAAGATTCGAAGGCAATAGGATACCAACATGGGATTTTACGACAGAAAGTTTCATCATAACAAACAAAGAGTATTCATGCTCGAAATTTATCATTGCTTTTACGAAAAATCTCTAAACACAGAAAGATATCATGAAATACCATTTAGGTATAGTTACAACGTTCTTTACTAACATCAGTGAAACTAAAACAAAGCATTGTTTTTAAATGAAATATGAACACTGTCTTCTGAAAAGAAGATCTTCATGAACTATTGAAATCTTTGAAGCTCTACAAACAACTCAAGACAAGGAGGTGATTGAG